CCCCAAAACCCCAAAACCCCAAAACCCCAAAACCCCGAAAACACGAATAAAATTGAGTCTAGTTAAAGATGAGTCCATTTTAAGATGCTATATTAAGTCTTTATATCTTAAACCCATTCTTGTTATGGTATAATAAGTTTCCACAGCTAATAATCTTGACCTTATTAGGCTTCTCACTGTCAGTTGTAGATCTTGGGTCTTCCTCGTCAGAAATTGGAAGAGAGGTTTGCTGCTTGTGATACTTCACCCTCATCTTTCAGAAGTCATTTAGAATTCCTTCATAGGTCATCTTAGAGCTGTTTCGTCTGGAAGCAAGATTCTCATTTTTCTGATCTAAACTCAATAAGTTATCGAGAAGAAGAGGTGAGAAGGCTATTAAGGGGGATACTTACATGAGCCTAACCTATTAGAATTTTTGGATCCATTCTTCAACATCATTTTAGTTGGAACAGAAAGAGTTGTATTCACTCCAAGAGTCTTTTTGTTCAACTTGGGCTCTAAAACTTAGAGATAAGCAATTACTCCTGACTATATCTATTGACTCAATGTTATTGTTTTTCTTAGAGACTCCATACTTTCCTCTTTTATGCAAAGCCGGGGATTTGTATCTTCCTTGCTTTTTCTTATTTCTCCCAGCCTGTAAAGATAGTAAAGTAATATTTACCTTCAGATTTTTCACAGGCTCTTCTTCATGAATTCTGGCTGATACATCAGTTTTCTATACAGTTAGTGAACAAAATTACCCTTGTGTTTTCTCTTGAGATTTTCTTAGTCTCAAGCTTTGAATTATTTGAAATAGCTATAAGAAGTTAAAACCACGACTAAGTGTGTCGGTTTTCAAAGAGATCGTGTTGCAGTTAGATTAGTGATATTAGTTTCTAAATTAGCAAAAATACTCTAGAAGGCAACCTTGATAAATACGCATTCAAATATATTATGCTTAGTACTTGATTGAACTAAATCTGGTGACTGCAAATTTATCAGACAAGCAAGAATAGCAAGTTAGGACTTATGAAGTGTTTCACTGAAGAATTTCATAGGAATAGGAAAATAAGCCAAGCTAATGCAAAGTTGTCTTCTAAAGCTAGCAATATCCTTCACATCTGTAACTTCATAAATATAAGCTAGCATAAGAAGTTCCTCTTGAGACATATGAATGCCTGATCTAATTTCTAATCATCCAAATTTCTTGAATGAAAAATTGATATCAAAAGTAATATTGCAGTGGAGAAAAGAAGTGTTTTAAGCATGATACTAGATCGGGTCTAAGCCAAGTTCTTCCTTATGCTAATACCTCTTCTAACATAATTAAGCCTCTAAATTGTCTGCTAAAAGTCTGAAGCTCTATTAAAAAGACTGATATATTTAAAGCAATTTAGGGGGAAAAGTCTGTAATTTCATGGTTTAAACCAAACTGTACTAAAAATTGACAATTTTAAATAATCTCAGGTCCATCCATTTTTTGAGAAGCTAGTGAAAATGTTTGCTTTAACACAAAAATAATTGGGTACAAAGTCAAGGTCACTGGATATTTCAGAATTACTTTAGAATAGCGACCAACAAGCATTTTCTTGCCTGGTTATTTTAGTAAAACTTAGCTTGCAGATTTTAGGAGGGTAGCTAAGAAAAACTCTAATTTTAAAAGAAATTGCTATCTTGAGTGGTATTATAAATGTGTTGAAATGATTTTATACCGTTTCATAAAAGAAAGTAAATGGTATATTATTCCAGAGTCTGTTTCAAAAACTTCATAGAACTTAAAATTCAAGAAAATCTAACTTTAATAGGAACTAAAATAATTAGTGAAACCCTTCCATACCTTAGAAACTTTTATAAATTATCTTTGAAATGACATATTTCACAAACCTAATTCTTTTTCAAGTTCCTAATCCAAATCTCAATAAATCAAGGATACATTAAATACCTAAATACTTCTATATTTGGCAAAATGTCCTAAATTTAATATCCCCAAAAACCTTAGCTGCAACTCGTTCACTAAAAAGAAAACTCAAATTAATATTTTATTAACTCAAAAACTGGGAAAAATAAACTTGCATCTATTAAAATTTAAGAAAATTTCTGAAAATGTTTTTTTGCCTCTAGCTAATAGTATTAAAAGAATAGTATTTATGCTCTGTTTAAGAGCTGAAGGCAAGCAGATACAGGCAATCCCTCTACAATGGTGCGATAAAAGTTTTACCACCGACTGTGAGTTCTCATGGTGAAAGAAAATAGACATAGCCAATGAGATTCTGGATACAGAGACATTTCCAGCAATTGAGTGATGGTAGGACTAACTACTTTCCAGAAGTATTTAAACTCTGAGTTTTGGAGAAATTGAGAGAGGCATTATGCAAACAAACTTCATGTGAAGCCATGGTTGGAGTATGTCCATTAAAGTTGTTGACTGTTCTGAATAAGTACACTTGTATTTTTTATGCAAAGTTTGAAGAAATAAAGAGTTGAAAAATAAAGTGCAAAAATTGGGGGATTAACTTTAAAAGAAGAATAGAGTATTTTAGAGCTAAATAAACCAAACTTACTTGGATTTTGTGTATTCAGGTTTCAAATTGGTTCCTGAGTGTTGGCTTTGAGGAGTCTGTCTGCACAACAACTGTTTGTAGTTCCCATATTTTTGCAATGAATTTATTTATATTTCAATATCAATCTCATTAAATGGGGTTTTGGGGTTTTGGGGTTTTGGGG